AATAGCGATCTTACTTATGATGTTTACATAAATACACTAATCTAATAATTAATTTTATCTCCCACCATCAGACATTTGAAGACAAGTTTGCGCAGCGTGAAATCCTGTCGTTACCAGTCCAATGTGCAAATCACTGCAACGGCTGCGAGTGGAGTGGAGAACTGGGGAAGTTAGAGGTATATTAGCATCAATGAAATCATATCTTATGGAGCTTCTAGGAAAGTGGGTTACGAATAAAAGCACAGCTAGCTGGAAAGATACATTTCGAAATTAGAAAGCATTTATGATGAAAAAAATAGACATCATCCTTATTCACTCCTTACTGTCTAAGAAAAATTTATTGATAAAACACGAAGATGGGTTGAGGTAGAAGCATTTTTAGAGGTCTGCAAGTCACGAATCTTGAGTCGTTAGCTCAATTGGTTAATACGCCGGATTGAGTTGTGCGGGAGGTCGAAGGTTTGAGTCCCGGCCGGACCAATACTCACGGCCTGAAAATAACTGAGGAGAATCTGTTACCTTTCTATAATCTCAAGAAATGAATAGATATCCTAGTCTTCTCGGATAAGGACGAATAAACCGTAGGCCCCGTCTCCTCCAGGGTTAGGGGTAGGAGATGTTAATTTCCCACGCGTAAGATTACTGTGTGGTGGATGTCCTCCCCTGGGGTGAGATGGGTGGGTGTTACTCGGAGATACTAGCTCTCTAAGCTACTCTAAAATCCGAGTTTAAATAAAGTCATGTATGTATGTATGTATGTATGTATGTAAGTATGTATGTATGTATGTATGTATGTATGTCAATCAGTACACGGCTCAAACGTCGAGAAGCTCATGGTGTACACTTAGTTGAAACTCATATGGCTGTTCATTTCAGAATCACGAGGCCCAGTGCCCCTATGTTAAGATCCAATGCGTGCATCCTTGTTGCGGAGCCTTGGTGCGGAGGGATGACTTATCTCGGCATCTTGAGGAGGATTGTAGCTTCAGAGAGCAGCAGTGTCAGTATTGTCATATGATGACTACAGTTGATAGGCTTAAGGTATAGTCTTTTTCTTGAAATCATTTGATACAGTTTCTGTACACGTTGCTACTTTCTTGATAGAACTGTAGAAAATTACAAAATGTACCTTTCAACGTTTCATGATTACCTCAAACAAATCACGGCAGATTGAATGGCCAAAAAAAAAACAAAAACAAAAAACAAAAACAAAAACCGGTTCATTTCTAGTAGAAAAGTTTTCAAGTTTTTGGACGAGAGTTGCTAAACTTGAGATGCAGTCATATAGGGGATTTATTACCGATTGGTGAGATGCCAGGAGCATCCAGCTGATGATACCACAATACCAGCAGCAGTCATAATTACAGCGGTCAATTTTCAACTCAAATTTACATTCTCAATTGTTAACTGTAGGAACACCATGAAAAGGAGTGCCAAGAATACCCTACTGACTGTTTGCATTGTAAAACTGAAAGCATTCCACGAAAGCAGGTAAAGTCATCACTCAATCCTTTGCTTACAGTGAACATAATTTTTTGGGCGATTCCCTTCGGTTGCCCTTCGCTTTTATTTTGTTCCCAGATTTATGCAATAGGCATCAAGGCGTAAGAGAACGATGCA